TTGAAGCCGACAACATTGGGAGACTTTGCGACATATTTCTTTGCTTCCGCGGGTGGATTGTTCTTGGGCGGGGAGCTGGGTATGCCTGGTGCCAATGCTCATATACAGAAGATGCAATGATCGCTAACCATTTTTGTACTACAGGCTTCTTTGCCGGAGCAGCCAGTGGAAGTCGTAGTATTGCAAATGACCCTGAGCGAAGAAAGCGCATCGAGAACGCGTTCCGGAAGTTCAGAGCAGACGCGTTGCGCAAGGAAGCGGACGCACTGGATCGCGATCAGAATGTCTTCGAAAAAATGTTCTAGTACATGTTTTCCGGGTTTGATGAGCTGTACGATAGTCTGCCATGTTTTTGATTAAGGACCGGGAGTGAACCCTCCATTAGGATCACACAGCTTCACATCTACTAGGCAATGGCCGACCGCAATTACTATGAAACTTGACGTATCATCAGGGTAGCTCTGTCGAATGAGCGATGTCGTATTGTGCTTCGAAGCGAACCTCTGTTCGCACCTATACAGCCTCAAGTCGAGGCAGGGCTGGACAAGACAGTTTTCTCTGAAGTAGGCATTCCTGGACTGAATTGCAAGCATGACGTTGGCCTCCCTGGCAACTAGACGACCACCAAGGTGCCTGCATATAAGTGCAGCAACCGCCTAGGTGATCATTGATGCTCGCCCGACAACTGCGGTATAATCCCGCGCAATGCCAATGCGACCGCGTCTCCCCTCTCACCCATGCGATACTTCAATTACTGCTGCGAGGGTCTGCCGGTGCCGCGTCTTCGGTATTGTTGATACTACTGAACTGCCTTTCCGTAGTATATGATACGAACATAGCGGCAGTGAGCCCATCTGCCTAATGGATCATGCAGCTGAAGCTCATACTGTAGGTATGTTGGGCAATCTGCGCAAGTTGGCAGACATTGTCCCCCTCTGCAACGGGAATCGATCAATCGCACGACTATCAGCAAACGCATTGTTAGCGCTAGACATGTGGCACTTCTTGCGCTGCCCGCAGCATCGCTCAACTGGTGGGCGCCGGCCTCCTCACATCGAATGAAGCCGGGACGACTTTGGGTGTGGAATCCTGTGTATTCGGCTTTGACAGCTTTGTAGGAACCGTTGCTCCGTGTTCGACGTTCAGCTGACCAGCAGGGGATTCTCCGCATCAGTTTCATCGGGACACTGTGTGTCTACTGTTGCCGATTAGGCTGCAGAGTCGAATGACAGCATTCGAAGAACTGCCATCAAAGTAGCAAGTCCATTCCGAGAAGAAAGTCCATATCAATCGACGGTGTTTGTGAAAAGGAATCCAACAATGAATCTGAAGGGAGCCATTGTCCTCCCAAGCGATCAGAGTCAATCGGTGCAGAAATTCCCGACACCCGCTCAAGGATCGAGATGCCTTTTCGCTTCTTCTCCAATGACGCATTGATGAGAAGACGTGCTGTGTGAAGCGCTTCATTTGCCAAATGCGTGTTCAAACGTTGTGCGATCATTTCCATGGTTTCCACGGCTTCCGGGATCCTTTCCAGACTCTCGGCTGTATCGATGGCGACAAGAACGCAGATAAACTGGAAGACAGTAACAACGACATTCCACCACGGATGGTTCTGTGCAACCAGTCGCCGGGCAGGAGGTAATGTGGAACGGCCGATCTCGATGACTCGATCGAGCTGTGCTTGAGGCGTTGCAGGCTCTAAAAGTCGAATTCGGCGGTAGATACAAAATGCCAGGTCTGCCTTGACTAATATCAAAAAGTCATGTTCAACCGGCACCTTGACCAGATTCTCGAGGCCCACGACCAACTCATCCCGCCTGGCAACGGGATCAGCATTGTTGTCGAGCGGGACAGCTCCGACCAGACTGAACAACTGTGGTGTCAGATCACTGGACGGTGCATCGCACCTCGAGTCTCTCTTCCATTTCAATCCAAGGTCTACCACTGACCGTCCATAATCGTAGGCTATGATTATATTCAAACACTGAGCTACCTGGGCAATGCGGTCCCGTGTCTCAGCGATATCCTCCAAAGCCTTTCTGCCACTACCCCCGGTCGTCAATATGACCGCGTCTAATGGCCGATGTAGACCAGCGGCTTCAACGAGATGCATCGTGGTGCAGCTGCACAACCAAGCCGAGTGTGGCCGACTGGTCGATCGCACATAGATGGTACGCAAGATCCACCCGGCGATCTTGTCAATGGAAGGTATCCGACTGACCGAGGCATCTTCCAGGATGTCCTTCGCATGCAGCATGACCCTAATCTCCTCTTCTCCACTGAGAAAACCAGAGAAGAGAGAGCCGAGGGCAATGACTCCGCTGATTAATGCTTCCAGGCCTAGGCCTTGTGCTTTGCCGCGCCAGTGCTCCTCGCATCGGTGGTACAGCCGCTCCATGTCCAGCAGTCCAAACACCGGATGGATGGTCGACGAGTACACATCCATCAGACTTCGGACTTTATCCCATGAGATAAATGCGGTCAAGTCAAAGGAAACACCACAGCTGGGCTCTGCGCGAACTCCAGGGTTATACGCGAAAGAGTGCAGTCGCGGGGGATTTGCGGCCTGCAAATCCAGGCCGACCGTCATGGGAAACGCAACTGATGAGTGTCGGTCCATATACCTGAGTTTCGAAGGCTCAAGAATGCCATGAGAGGAAGAAGAGATCACCGAACTGCCTCCCAGGCTTTTCGCTGTTGCCGCCGACAAACGAGCAGCCTTCGTAGAGGGTAGTGGCAACGGAGAAACCGAGTCTGCGTTTCTTTTGACAGATTTCACAGAGTCCTCCAGAAACTGGCAATCATATCCATAGCCTGTACACGTCGAGCATGGAAAATTCCCATCGCACTTTCTTTTGCGTCGGCGACAGGGCGCGCATGCCTGCCGCGACCGCTGGCGCATGTTTCCCGAGGACAATGCACTTGACACGGTCGCATTTGCGTCTTGCACCTCTTGCGTCATGGCAGAACAGATGTATCCTGGTCTAAGTCATAGTCAGAATGAATACCTGTGGTCTGGCCTTTGTACGCTCTGTGACTGTTGTGACACACCTCCTCGGCTGCCTCAGGTGATTGGTTGAGGGAAAACACATGACTTATCTCTGCCAGGTTGGAGTCACATGATTGAGATTTGATGCCTCATATCCCGCTTGATGCCTTAGAGTCTGTTGTCAATAGACCAGAGACGTATATTGTGCGTTTTAAGAATTTCGATATTCCAGGCTCCTTGGAGGCCCCACGCTATGCGGAGAGTGCTATTCCATTTGAGCTTCATGTCATTCTATGATCTGAAAAGCTGAAAGGATGAGTCTTACCCCTCTGCAGTGTTGTAGCAACCAGGATGGCGAGCTGTGCTATTTCGCAGGGAAATACGAGATTCATTTCCATTCAGTTGGGGAGATGCAAGGGTAATACTCCTCCACCATTGAGATGCGTAGAAAACTCGTAAAGGGGCTCAGTATTTGATCATTCCTGTCCTTCAATACCCCTGGTTTTCCACACCTTGAATCTTGCCCTGGGCACCTGCCAAGCCTCGTATCAGTTGGTGAGCTGCAGAAGAGGCCATGCCAATCATCACACGACACATAGAATAAATATCGCTCCTCGGTGAGAAGACCCAAGGGCATGAACTTGCCAAATTACTGAACCCATCTTACTTTACCCTCAATGAGACGGACAACAAGTTCCTCCCGGCGTTGTCCAAGATTTTCACTGATGTTGGCAAAAAGGTTACCGTCACCCAGGTCCTGGTGGACGCGAATCGGGACCTGCAATAGGGCACAGTCGCCTAGAGCGGTGTCTCTGGAACTCCGGTGACGAGTCCACAGCCAAGTGGATTCCGCAAGGAATGACCAGCTCTGGTGATGCGCTGGCGTCGGGATATACGAGGGCAAGGACGTCTGGCTTGCCAGCTGGTACCAAAAAGAAGGCGATGCCAATGTTCGCGTGAGCTTTGTGGACCTCGGGACGCACAAGTACATGCACGTTATGCTGGTGGAACCAAGCGCTGCCGATGATTTCAAGTCTGTAATCTCAAGTCAGTGCCGATCCATGCGGGTGGTATTGCTTGGTACGGCAATGCCCTGTACGTTATCGATACCAGCCATGGCCTGCGGGTGTTCAATGTGGGCAACATATGGAAGGTCGAGAGAGGCGATGGGATCGGTAAGACGGCTGGAGGCGGGTACTCGGCAGCCAATTACGCCTAAGTCCTTCCTCGGACGAGGTGAGTTGTCCGTTGGTGTACATGACAGGTAGAAAAGATGCTAATGGCGTCGAAAGGGTCTACAATTGGACTGAGCTCCAGCTAGGCTCCAAGTTCGGCATTCCTAGGTCGCTCTTGATCGTCTTGACTCTCCCGACACTCTGCTGATTGGCGAGTACCAGACCGATGACACTTTAACTCCCATCCGTCTGGTCAAATATCCCCTGAACCATACGACACGCCGTCTACGCAAGACCGGCTCGACGGTAGCAACGGCATCCTGGGCATACTGTGCATTATTCTTCGCATGCAGGGCGGATTCCCCCGAAATGACACTTTCTACCTGGGAGGAAGCAGTGGTCAGAACGATGGAGATGACCTGTTCACATGGACACCTGGAGAGGCAGCCATCGGATCGAGCTACTTACCTCCAGGTAATGAGGATCCGAGCTACAATGAGGCGAAGAGGGAGTGGTACACTGTGAGGGAATGGCAGAACCAGAGATACATCTTGGCATATAAGAAGTAGATTCCATGATAGGCTTGCGCTTGCTGGCTTGTGGACAGATGCGTCCGTGGAGACCACCCGTATGAAGACAAACTGTTTCGTCGTGATTCCGGCTTTGGATTGATTGTTTACTTGTGTACATTGCTGGTATCAGTCAGCATCCAGATGTTGCCTACGGATCATAAAAAATATGTGATTCTCTTCGTACATATGTTAAAAAAAGGGAAATGGGAATAATCGCACGTAAGAGGTGGGCGGAATGAAAGACCAAAGGGAAAAAAAAATTGCCTCCATCCAGGATCGAACTGGAGACCTCAGGATTTCAGGAACATCCCTTCTGTTGACAGAAGAGTCATGTGATATGAGACCTGCGTGATAACCAACTACACCATAGAGGCAATTGTTGAGATAATGCTGCCTTCAAAAAGGTTATGTAGAAGGCTATGATTTCGAAATAGCTATTCCTTGTCTTCCACATTTGGATGCCCTCAACCTGTGGTAAGTGCTGTAAATGCATTAAATAGTATCTTATAATGATTGCTAGCTTATATGATATTACTTTCCTCTGCGAAATTAGAATAGTAATAATAGAAATAGTTTTGTCAGCTTAAGACTACCAGTGACATCCTGTCGCTACAGCAGATATATATTTCTATTCCAAGCAGAGTGGGATTACAAGAGAAATATTGATTCCCTTCCAACCCATCACTTTGTTTTATTTTTGAGTGTATATCCTGCGGTAGTGGTGATGCAGTGTTAACAGTTCATCTTATGGTACAAGTCTGCAATTAAATGCTATCAATTTGACAGCAGAGATAATTAATAATACAAGGTAACAAAATGCAGTCTATGGCTTTATCCAAAGACCAGCATAGCGATCCTCCTTTCCAGAATTGTACCCACTCAAAGTACGAAGAACATAGCCCTCCTTCTTATACTTGTCAAACGCCGCCTGGAAGCTAGGTGAATCCAATCCGTGCCTGGCGACCCACGCACCAGAGGCCGACTTGTCCCAGATGGCCGCATAGTAGACGTGGTCGTCTACCTGATACCCATCCACGTCGGTCAGGCGGTATCCGTCCTTGACATATTTGTCAAAGCGCGACTGGTATTCGGCAGAGGTCATGTTGGCATAGGAGAGCCAGGCGACGTTGTCGTTCTTCTTCTCCCAGATCGCAGCAAAGCGCTCCTCGCCCTTGAGCTCGTAGCCACTGATATGAGTGAGCTTGTAGCCCTGTTTCAAGTACTCGTCGAAATATTTCTGCATCGATTCGACCGTCATTCCATGACGAGTGACCCAGCCGGCGGAGGGTGACTTGTCCCAAATGGCAGCATAGTACGCGTTTTCGCCGACAGTGTAGCCATTAACCTGGACGACACGGTATCCTTGGCCGAGGTACTCGTCGAATTTCTTTTGGTAGTCGGCAGAGGTCATGCCATGGTGTGATTTCCAGGCCGCCGAAGACTTCTTCTCGAAGATAACGGCAAAGTTAGGTTGGCCGTTGCGCTCGTAGCCACTGACGGAATTCAAGCGGTAGCCTTGGCCCACAAGATCATTGAACTTGGTTTGGTATGCATCGGAGGTCAGCCGGTAGTAGGCGTGCCATTCATTTGCCTGAACGCATACGGCCGAGAGAATGGCAGCAGCCCAAGGAAGGAATCTCATGATGAGCAAGGTTTGAATGAAAGAACCGGTAGTGAAGAAGAGAGAATAAGTGATATTCTGCTCCTCCCATGATGGGTTCCGGACGAAGTCTTATATATGGCGATAATTGCTACATCAATAAAGCAGATATAAGTGGAGAAGCTGTGGACATAGGAAAGAGAGCCGCAGAATGCAGCCTACAGAGGCAATAATACTGTCTTGGCAGACATCTCAGTAATCTCCACCGTTCGTATTTAGGGGTATTTATATCTCGAAATGCAGCATTTCGCAAAGCGATTGGCGTAAAGACAGCAGAATCCATCGCACTCGTAAAGGTGGGGTAATCCCGTATATTTTGGCAAAGAGTGATCAATGATAGGTTGAGCTAGCAGCAACAGCATGAGGCTCATGAATAAACTCGGTACCTGTCGCTGTGCCCCTAACAAGGCTGACACGGCGAGGCTTTCCCGTATCCATCCCCAATCGGTACTCTCTAAAGTTGTCAGTTCCAATCCTGGCCTTCGAGGATCAATACTGGCCTGCAAAAGAGTAAACTAGTCTTCTGAGACTGCCGTGTAGTGTCGCAGATGTCATGAATCAATAAATCTTCCATTCTATAAATCTTCCATTTTATCTCGAACCTCCCGGATTCTGGCTCATTTGAAGGGTTATGATCATCATCACGATAACGAGGGGCCTGTAGACATAATTTATTCCTCTTTCTTCCCTGGTGCTTAATTCGAGGTCAATCAGAACACTGCTGTTCTTGGGAGGACTGTGTGCATGACCGAGTAGTCAGAGACCTCGCCGGTCGTGTGGAAAGCGTTCTGAAAACTGGTCAAAATTAGACAGAAACTGTGGTTGGATTGATGGTTGATTAGCTTTTGAAGTCTGAGATCGAGAGCTCTAACGAGACTACGTTCTGATCGACATGCAAGTGAACTTTACCAACAGCAGCAAAGGGCTAGCGATCTGATAGTTGCGCAAAGCACCACCAGTTTTATACTCCCCCCTAGTAGAGATGATTATTCCCTTGTATCTCACCAACCATTAGATATTCTAGACTGATATTCCATATTTAGATAGGCTAGATACTAGGCTATCTAGTGATATTAATATTTCTAGAGAAATTCTTAAGATTAGTGATTGGCAAAATATCATCACTAAACTGATAAAACTAATAAAACTATAACTACGTAATAGTTTTAACTAAACTTAAATCAATTCCACCCTACCTAAATTAAAGGTGAAGTAATTCCCTAGGCTAGGCACCGAACCTGAACCACTACAAGCTCAGTGATGGTTGGATTCAATTTTAGTGATTTGGTTGTGCAACTCTATTGAACCAAGATCCGCTCCTTACAGTGGACTTGATGGTGCATTTCTAGAGCACCTGCAGGGTAAAGCTGTTCACACAGCCCTGCTTTTAGTTACTCAAACAAAAAAATATCTCACTGAGGATGCCATAATACATTCCTGCAATTGTGCAAATCTGCCGTCCCGGTTCCGTGGAAGACATGCCTCCAGTGTGACATGCGCTGGACGGAAGGTACCGGCTTTGGAGTCAATGGTAAGAAGGTAGCACATACAGTGGTGAGCAGTTCTGGACCCGCGGCACTTCATGAAAAGATGCAATGACTTGAGAAATGACTTCCTCACCAGTGACGGCGACGACTTCATACAGGTCATCTGGAAAGGCTACCCATAGAGGGTAGCGTCCGGACTTGGTAGAGTTCCCAGCACCATTTGCGGCTCCGGGTATTTCTCAATACAATCTCGAGCATACATCTCAAATCGTCACGCATCCTGAAATTTGCAAGAGATTCCGGAATACTTCCTCAGGGGCTATGAAAACGATAGATACAGTCTCACCCTAGAATAACTCATACACAGTCTTGAATCTTGCCATATTCAGGCAGAGCCCATTTTACCATCCATTCTGACTCAAGAACTTGCTTGGTAGTAGGACGATCCTCGGGTCTGAATGAGAGCATCGGCCGTAGCATGTCAAAGATAGCGTCCCTCTCCCTTGCGTCAAACAACGGCATCCCGCTATCTTGCCTGGGCTGTTGCACGCTATCCTCAAACCGATCGCCCCAGGATCGGAAAGGGTTACGATTCAGTGGCGTACCATCCTCTGCAAACCTATGTCGTCGCGCCTCCCACGTCTTCCACCATTCAGGTGGTAAAGTACCAAGAGTATCGACATGCTCACAGGTCATGTCATCCTCCGTTGCAAGAAATCCTTCAAATAATGGCCGTTGAGCGATGATGGTCCATATGGTACAGGCAAGAGACCAGATGTCTGATGAAAAAGAGAGAGGTTTATTTGGTTCAAACCGAGCCTCGGGGGGACGGATAACAAGGGGGGTGCGAGATTCATATTTTAGTTCTTTTGGGTATGAAAAGGCTTCACCAAAATCTGTAAGCAAGATCCTGGCGTCTGCAAGCGTGATTTCCTCACTTGCTTCACCCAGCCATATGGGCGCAATGCCATGGGATGGAACACCAGGAGGAAGTGGATTGCCATCTAGATGAACAACTGGGTCTACCTCCGGTTCTCCATATTTCTCATATAATTGCTCGACTGAGAGCTGATCAAAATTGTGCGGAACTTTGAGAAGGATGTTGCCTAGGTGAAGGTCTCCATGGACAATTCCTTGGGCATGTACATAATCCACAACAAGAACGAGTTGCGCAGCCAATGACCGGGCTACGTCAAGCTGGAATAAGCGGGTCCACGAACCATCTTTCACCCCTGAGAGGCTAGCCCTTGCCGGCGCGGTGACGTAGCAAACATGATGGCCATTTGGGCCGTGAATGGTGAATCTATCTAGAATCGACGGAATCATTGTCTTTCCTGGAGTGTTGATCGAAGAAGAATGAGGACCGGTGAGAGTAGATATGATATCCACTTCCTTTGGGTTCGAGTCTGCTGTGCAGACTTTCATCGCAACGTATTTACTGCATTGTTCATCACGGGCCAGCCACGTCGTAGAATAGGAGCCATGTCCCAGCTTATGAACAACTCGATATCGACCGTGGAAGTGATCTCCAATTTTAATGGGGTGATAGCCTCCTGGTCGATAGTTCTCAAGTCTTTCGACTCCCTCAAGAGGCTCGTAGAGGACACGGGTAGTAAAGTTGTCATTGGTCGCCATTGAGTTGAACGCGGTGATAGTCAACGCGCGGTGGGGTTGGTTGTGATGAAGCAGTGGCATGCACACCTTATGAAGGACAGAAGAGTGAATTCGGGAACATAAGTTATGGGGGAGCAACAACCGAATAGCAGATGATGACAATGTATTCATTGCTGTATCAAGTGCGGAGGTTGAACCAAAAGGAGTTCAGTAAAGGAGATGAAAACATCTCGTTATTCTGAGAGTTGTATCGCAGCGCCTAATGAATGATTGGGTATGATTGAAAGGTACGCAGGCTGTCGCCGAAGTAAATATAAATACTTTTTGCCAATTGCCCGTGACTTCCCAGAAACAGTGGGGCAGTTCCCGCATAGCCATCGACCATGATTGGCCTGGCCAGTGTAATCAATTATTTAAATCTATTGGCTGACAAGCCAACATTCAGCGGAAGAGACGCGCCCCTATATCCAAACACATTCTTCATAATCAACACACACCAGGGTTTGACACAACGAGAACGGTTAGGGCTTCTATGTCCTCCCTAGGAGATGAGCTGGCGCCTAGACTTATTTATCCGATCCTTGCTGAGATGTCGAAATCATTATTCGACCAAATTTACGCGCTCTAGACATTGCATTGGCCATGTAAGGCCTGGGCGATTGCCAATAACAATATGGTCGTCGGAGATAGACGGTGGCTTTCTTATTAGCAAGGCTATAAAAGCAGACACAGCCTAGGACGAAATGCAACGCAGCTGCATCTTAGAACTATTACACCTTATTCAAAGCTTCAAAATATTGCCTCTGCAGCGTCAGACCGCATTCGAGACACCATCCAAGCAAACATGTCTACGGTTAACATGGTAAAATATTACTTTTACCGGGGCATGGTCCCAAAAGATCAAGACCGACTGCGCAAGCTTGTGGCTTTGGCATATCAAATAGCAAGAGACAGAAAGCTCTACCCAAAGGCGGTTCTTATTAGGTACGAACACAGTCTGATTTCGGGCGAAACGATACTCCTGGCGTTCTTTATTCCCTAAGCCCCTACCAAATGCTAGCTGATGCCTGATAAATTTGCAGGTCCGAGGTTCATGATACGACCAGTATAAATGGTATACACCAGAAAGATCCTTTGGGTCCACACGTGACTCTTTGCTACAAAGACGAGGACCAGCTCCGTCGTGGGACTCATGTCGCAAGTCATGGTTATGTTCGCGGGGAAGACAACCTTGAATTGGTGCGCGCAACTCATGCCGGAGAGAAGCCGGACTCAGCCAAAAGGCAGCGAGGCAAAAAGACAGTATGGCCATCAGAGAATGAGCTTGAGGCCGTACCAGAGATCGGCTACAGCCATCTTCCAAGCAACTAGAGTCCGAGACATTCGTGTGAGGTGCATTATTGGTTCTGTGATGTACTGCAGAGTTCAGTGCCGTTTGTGAATATGATGCAGCAGAAATTTTGACGCAGCTTCGGATTATTGGTACTTTTTCTTACCCTTTATCTTAGCCCATAAATTGGATCCCCGGCAGCCATCGTTCCAGTTGAAAATGATAGATTAAACCCAGTAGGCTCTCTAAGGGTCTTGCCTACCTTGCGGGAGAAGAAAAAGAAAATCTTTCCGTTGATTGCCAAAGGCATAATGTTGAACTGAACATCAGTTGGACTGGTGAGGATGTTGCTTGTTTCTGTCACGATCAACATACAATAAAGTAGAATAGGGAGCACTAGCTAGGAGGCTCCATGCAGTCTATTGCCACAATAACCTGAAGAACATAATAATAATAATCGTAACCCCTCTACGAAACCTCGTGTAGGGCACCTGACTCAAGACTAGGATTTCGTGAACCCAATAAGTAGGCAGGCATATCCAACTCCAAGCAGATGGTCCAAGCTACTCCCAGGGCCAAGGCCGCATGCGGATCCTTTTTGAGTCCATTAAAACCAGAAGTGGAACCCAAAGGAAAGCGGCCAGTTGCAAAGTCTGGACATTCGTGCACATCTGCAGGAACTGCTCCCAGTCTGTTTTGGTTGGGGTCTCAGGAAAGCGTGGTCAAGGCCAAGCAAGGAATGATATCTGTGACTGTGTGCGGGTGATCGTCCACTAACCTTGGATTGCAATGGCTTGCCCAGTGAGAGTTCCTGCAAGAAGAGGCAGCCCTATGTTTTTGTAAAGCCATAATACTAATAAGTGTTTCCAGCAGAACATAGGTTGCATATAAAACCTACACAGTAATTAGCAGCATTCTTCATGAATCACAATGTAAATTATTCTCATATTAGAAGCAATGACGAGATCATACTCCCCACGTTGACAGCTTCTTCCAAATTCCAGACGAAATATTAGGCGGGTGAGTAATGTTATAAGTAGACTATCGAAGATCACGCTTGCATCTACATTATTAAACTTCAGTAATGCTAAGTACAACGTGACATCAACATAAACTATTGTAATATAAGCTTATTAACATCATTGGAAGTCAGACCTTGTGTATATCAATGTCATATCATCGCGAGGGGTCATTTCGAGAGATTCCACAGACAGGGCGCAATGACGTCAGGGCCCGCGTGGCATCATCGCATCAAATATCCATCCAAGAAAGTGCCAATCCTAGAAACCCAACAAGATGTCATCCCTGATACTAAGGAAAGGAGCTTTGACCTTGTGAGTACGCAATCCAGCAAGGGTCGAGCAGTGATTGATTCTTATGGGGATCCACACACGTCATGGTTTCGGATCACCATGTGGCTGACAGCCATACCCAGACCAGCGTTATATAGAAGGCTATCGCGATTTTATTCTTATGATAATATCTGTCTTTCGGAACAAAATTACTCTTATCGTCAAGTTCATCACTGACTCAGAAGCTCATATTTCCGTCGAAAACAGCAACTACCATGGACAACCTTGACCAAAAGACCGGTGCTGAGACCCATACGGACGAGCAAAAGCGACACTTCTATGACAACCTCACCGAGGATCAGAAGAAGAAGCAGACTTTTAGCGAATGGGTGAAAGAGGCATACTATGACCAATATGAGAAATGGATGCCGTGGCTTGAGGAGCAGTACCTTAAATGGTTCGGAAAGGGCGACAACAAGGCTTCATACGTCGCAAAGGGTAAGAAAATGTCCCTTTCTATCCCTGTATTGGATCATTATGCCCTGAGCATTTGATAGACTAATACACGAGCTCGACTAGATACTCTTTCCAAGTCCAAAGTCACCGGCATCAAACAGGTCGACCAAGTGCAGGACGACGTCAACAATCTGGTCGGCAACCAGCTCGGTGAGAACGGATTCCTTGCTCCCATCGGTAACATGGTCTCTAAAGAAGGGATCGACCGCGCCGAGAGAAAAGGCAAGGACGAGAACGGCTCATATGGCGGTCCGCTCGGCGGCGTCACTGATCCCGTGGTGGAAAAGGCCAAGGGTGCTGGCCAAAGTGTCACCTCTGGGGCTCAGACGGTGGGAAATTCCATCTCTGGAGGATTTCAGAGTGCTGGAAACTGGTTCAAAGGCTCGTCCAGCGAAGAACAGCGGTCGTAATTGCAGGAATGTGGGATTGATATTGATGATTGATGATTATCTTTGATTTGTCTATTTATGTTTGCAAGAGATACCAGTACTTGATCTTATTATTCATGTTTAACCATTTGTTAAATTTGTTACATTCGAAATTTTGCTTCTGTAGGGCAGTGTCAAACGAGCATAGGGTCTGAGGGACCAGATGAAGGTGCTAGGTAGTGTTTGCGGCGGGATTGCGAATCAACGTCTCGATCATGTTGGTCTTTCCTTTCTAACACTCCTTCCTTGTGATATCTCTCCCAAACTTCCTAGGGAGCACCCTGCGGCAGCCGTCTGGTTGAATATATGTGGAGGGCCTTTACGACGTCTGCGCGTTTGCTGCTCTCTATGCCGGGGCTGCTGGCTTAATGTTTCCTGAGACCCCATTCGTTCGGCGGCCACTCGGGTATAACCCTTTGTGATATCAAGGACATTGAGTCCAAGGTCAAGGTCTATGTCAATTCACATCTTGAGGGCGGCTGTACCTTTATCCTCTTCTATATGGAAGCAGGCCCCGCTTTAGGCCGCCTGTGCCGCTTGTTTCAATCGCCTTTCCTCGCGTTCACTATATCGGTCCGCGAAGAGATCAAAGTGAGGCCGCATCAAGATAGTGTACTTGACGAACTCTTCCATGCAATCGACCAAACGGTCCCGGTTTCCGCTGGGCATGAGGTGATAGTCCCCCGGTTGACCGGCATCCGGGAAATGCGTGTATGCCTTTGGAATTGAGCTTTGATTCGGGATCACAAACATGCGCATCCACCGTCCCAGGATCCGAAGCGAGTTGACGGCGTTGAACGATTGGGACCCTCCGCATACTTGGGCGATGGCCAGGGTGCGGCCTTGAGTGGGTCGAACGCTGCCGGTGGACAGGGGAATCCAGTCGATTTGGTTCTTGAAGACGGCAGTCTGGCAGGAATCAGTAGTGCTCTGGAAGACGTTGTGTGATGAAGAGCTTACCAGGTTGCCGTGTTGCTCGGGGGTCACCCAGAGATGACCGTCGCTCCATGTGCTCAGTTCGCGCAGCTCTTGGACTTTGGGGTGCGTATGCTGGACGTCGTCCTTGACCGGTAGGCCCTCTGGATTAAAGACTCGGACGTCACAGCCGAGTCGGAAGAGGATTCGACTGGCTTCCAAGGCCACAAGCTTTGAGTACGATCTGCAGGTAGTGTCAGCCGCGGATGCTTGAAACGAATACTCCGCGTTAACAGATCCATACCTTTTTCGCAGAGAACCGTACAAAACTAAAACCTTGATACGTTTCTGAGTCGTCTTGAGATCCTCCGCAGCCATGTCCAGCACGGTGTCGAGTTCCAAGCGATTGGCCCAATCCTCGGCCGCTTGTTGGGGATTCAGAAGAAAGGGGCGATATTTCTCACGAATTTTCCAATCATCTTCACTTTCAGGTATGGCTAGCGTCCTGAAAGAGGGTTGGTTTGCCTGTATATCTTCATGTTTGACCTCATGTAGAGCCACTGTGCTGGAATGTGTCATTCTAATGCTGATGGGAGAGGATGGGACAAGCGTCGGAGTGGCTATTGTGATGACTCTCGGAGTCAAGCGATTTATCGAACACATATAGGTTGTCTGATGCAAGAAAAAGTCTTAACAACAAAAACTTATTGAACTATTAACTTCTGTCAAATAATGCCAGCGTTAAACTTTAGAAATCCTCATCAGAAGCATTGTCTCTGGTAGATGTCATCGACGACCGTTGATTGGCTGGACCGATCCGATACCCAAAACAATTCAAAAACATCTCCCTTAGGCTGACCCTCAGTGTGTGGAGAACAATACTGAAATCAGCAAGAGACGCTCAAGAAAGTAATATCATTTATACTGTCAAGTTCATTGGGTGGCTTCTCTTGAGAACTATCTGTCGATAACAGGAAAGGAAAGGAATGTGATACGCTCAGGTGGCAAAGCCACTACTTTAGCTGCTTCTAGGGCTGTAGACAGGTCAAATGAATGAGATGGGTCAAGGCTACGGGAGAAAGGCCCGTGAGGAATCTACGTTACAGGCAGTGAGCCATATCGAAGCTGAGCCATATTGAAGCCTGGGCTCGCTGCAGCCCAGAGCTAGGACAGTCCTCGTTACCATTGCAGCGCGCTAGGTATATGGCAGTCTTTCTCCATGTGACTTGTCCGACCATTCTTTGCCGCCGTGAGCTCCTCGAAGAGTCTTTTCCCGAATTTTCGAAAGGCAGAAGTAATGCCACCGTGGCGGAAGAGTGCTTCTTCCATCTGACTCAACTCGAATCCAAACCGGAGTCCATCAATGTCAATGAAGCGCGCATGGAGGTCAATTATTATCTCCGATCCATCCTTGGCAGCGGCGTAGAATGACTCATTAGGCATGGTAATGCCCAATAGGCCGAGATTGGGCATGTTCCGTTGAAAGATAAAGGCAAAGGATTTCGCGATCACACATTTGATACCGCAGCCTTGAGACATGCGCATTAGCAAAGGTATGTGTGGGAGTGGTATCACTCACCAAGCAATGCCATGACGGCCTGTTCGCGCGAGGATCCACAACCAAAGGCCTGACCAGCCACAACGATGTTGAAGCCTTCCTGAGCTCGTTGACGGAACACGGGATGGGTGTATTGCAGGCAATGCAGACCACTCTGCTCATTAGTTTCCATGTCCATCAAGAATTCAGCCGGTGCTAGCTATGGATGTATCAGCAAGACGCAGCCTGACAAAAGAATACGAGTAATTTGAGCATACCGCATCTGTGTCAATAAAATCGCCTAGCAGCTGGACCTTGCCACCTAGAGTTTGAGGGAAAGGAGGTCCTTGCGTGTATCCGGAGAAAACACTTGATTCAGCTCTCACATGAGAGAGAGCAGGAGAGCCGCTCGGCTCAACATAGGTCAGACGAGAAGCCGCTCCGGTGTTCGCTGTCGGTCTAGAGGACCCACGCAAGGATATCCATCGTTCCCAATTGATCCCACAAAGCAAGTCATGAGGATCGGTCAATTTCATTTCGAATGAGGATGCGGTGACAGTTGCGGCAGAGCCTAGATGCCCTACTGACCCTGCGTTGCATCCTTCAGCTAAAGAATGCTGTTAAGCGGCACGCATACGAACCTTTGCCCATGCGATTCTCAAAATTCCTGTTCTGGGATGAGAGCCAGACTTCTCCTGGAGCTGCCTGATCTGCCGACATGCCAACACAATAGCTGCAGCCTGGTACTCCAATCTCAAAACCCGCCGCTTCGTAGACACCGGTGAGGCATAATTCGCGTAGTCTGCGCAGGATCGGCAATGACCCCGGCACCATTTTCCTCTTGCCGTGCTTAACCGGCCGATAGCCTTTCTTCAGACCTTGCTCCAGTACAAGAGCAGCAAGGATGAGGTCCTCCTCGGTTGTGGTGCAAGCTCCAATAAAGCAACCATCCAACCTCAATCCTGCATTATCCGAGACTGGAACCACATCATCTGGCCTCGGGTATCGAGCAAAGAATGACTGAACATTTCCAAGGTCGACGTCGAGTTCTGCGGCATACTGCGCATCGCTGTCGGGTCGGAAGTACGTGGTCAGATTCTTGTGTCGTTGTAAGTGTCTGTTGGCCACGAAGTCGCGCGTGATTTGATCAGGCACAAATACCCCGGTGATACCACCAAGTTCCTTCTTCAATAAGCAAGGCATAAAGGCTTCAACTGCATTGACGTACCGCTGTCATGTTGCAAATAGCGAACCGATCATCCGCCGACAAATACTGCGCACCGGCGCCCGAGAACTCGACGATCCTATCCGAAGCGACAGTATTCCTCTTCAGCTGCTGCAAAATGTATAGGATAACATCTTTTCCGCCGATTCCAGGCTTAGGTACCCCCCAGAGGCGGATGTTGATGGACTCGGGAACCTTGAACCACGTCTCTCCTGTTACCAAGGGGAGAGTCACATCTGCTGCCCCGAGTCCAATCGCCAGACATCCCAATGCGCCAGAGGAGCACGTATGTGAGTCGGAGCCAATGATCAGCATGCCAGGTTGCGCTTTTTTCCTGTAGAACTCGATGTGGAGAATAGTATACTAAGCCATGTCAGCATCTGCCTGGGTTATTGTTTATGTTGACCAACGTTCATTCCCTGGTACTCGGTCATTTTGAACGCTCGTTTTGCCCTCTCACTTGCATCAATGAGCGCGCGAACCTTCGGAACGTCTCTGATTCGAGGATCTACGACATGATCACCGGCGAGCCAGAAGCGATCGTTCCGGTGAATCCCCGGCTTGCCTAGATCGTTGTACGTAGCCTCCATGCCCTATGAGCTGCCTTAGCGGCGGCGGAAAAGAAATCATTATGGTAATCCTCACGGCCCATGATGCCTCCGACGCAAGCACCCAATCGACATCGACCCGAATCAAATCTCCAGGAGCCACCCAACCCCTATGAGCCACGTCGTGCAACGCGAAAATTTTCTCGCTTAGAGTCATCCCACGCCGACCTGGAGGTCTTGATGGCAGCGGAGCAAGCATCGATCTGGACCTATCCTCCGAATTAAGCGCTTCCAGCCAGGCAGACGCGAGGAAGAGAACTTCTGATTCTTGCTGCTCTGTCAAGTCACTGGCATCGTCCAGACCCAGCCCGCCGAGATCGTGCGGTTGGGTGCACACGCGAAGCACATCGGCTAGAGCAGAGGACTCGCGGACGTGGCCAAGGTTTCGCAAAACATCGATCAGGTTTCTGACTTGAAAAAGTGGTCCAATGTTGGACGCAATCTTTCCTGTGGAATACTCAGCTTTGCTCTCTCCTATCCCGGATACCAGCTGGAGCCGTCTTACTTGATGCATCGTCCAGACGTATGTGCCTGGTTTGCTCAATGATACGGTATATGTGCACTGAACTATTGCTATTGGTTGCAGGCATCTTTGAATCTGCAAATCAAACTATAATCGGGGCTGCGAAGGCCACTGAGACTCGTTGCCTGTTAAGTACTCTGCCGCATAAGCCCCTTTCCACTGTGATGACAACTGTTGTGAGACTGTTGGCCCGCTTGCGGTCCGGAAACGGGTTGTGCCACTTCTTCCTGCCAGGCCAGGAGTTGGCCTTGACTTGGCCAGCCATTAGCGATTAGTGAGACAGCACACAGCAGTGGAGAACGCCAGCGACACGGCATTGGTTCAATCGACTGAATTTACAGTTCCGAAGCTGTTGTCTCAATGCGTGTTGAAGGAGCGACCTATCCTCATTGCCAGTGAAGCGAGAAATTGGTGTGCTAAAATGGGAGAGCTGAAGCAGTGCTCATAGCAAGCCTACTTTGACATATCACGCTGTATAATGAAACTTTTATTGTTGCTACAAATCTACCGGATCGCCTTGTACCGACCGGAAATGCGTCGGAGGCCACCTAGAACTTGGTGTAGCGCAGGTAGGGCTTGATCTCCCGCACATTGCCAAACTTCTTCTTAGCATCCTCGGTCGAGACGGACGGCGGGACGATGACATCCTCGCCAACGGTCCAGTCGATGGGAGTGGCAATGCCCTTTTTGTCTGCCGCCTGCAGAGCATCAATGACACGCAGGACCTCGGCGGAGTTACGGCCGGTGGTAGCAGGGTACAGCATTGTCAGACGGATCTTCTTGGCAGGGTCGATGATGAAAACCGCCCGGATGGTGAAAGGAATGCCCTTCTCGGCGATGTTGTCCAGGTCGCGCTGATCAATCATGTCATAGAGGAATGCGACCTTGCGCTCGGCATCGGCAATGATGGGAAACTGAACCGAGGTCGATGCGACTTCGTTGATATCCTTGACCCAGTCACCGTGAGAGCTGAGATCGTCCGCGCTCTATAAATGATCGATGAGTATGGTACCCTGTTGCAATTGAGAGAACTACCTACCAGGCCGATCATCTTGACACCCCGCTTGTCAAATTCGCCCTTCAGCTTGGCAAAGGCACCGAGTTCTGTCGTGCATACTGGGGTGAAGTCGGCGGGATGAGAGAAGAGAATGGTCCAGCTGTCTCCGATGAAATCGTGGAAATCAATTTCGCCGTGGGTGGTCTGCGCCTTGAAGTTCGGAGCTACAAGACAGAGAATATATATTAGCAGGATGGTTACACACAAAGAACGATAGAGACTAAATTACCAGTAGAACCAAGACGCAGGCGAGGCTGTTCTTGGGGAACAGTCGCAAGGAATCTGCGACCGAAGGGCTGCAAGAGGAGCTGGGCGCGTGGAAGCTGGCGGGAGAAAGCCACTCGCGAGACAGGGCTGGCTCTGGGGAGAGCAGAAAGGGCTCTCAAGCCTGTGCGGGGTAGAATGGACGCCATTGTAAAGATTGATTGAATCAACTGGCTTTTTGGCTGTCAATTGAGGATGGAAATGAGTGTATTTCCGATGATTTGACTATGGTTGATTGACGCAATAACATCGGAGGGGCACGGCAAAACCAGGAGCTAACCATATTGGGTAGTCAGCTTGCGAATGCCTGCATGCCTGAGGCACACACAATTCTTCCATCTACTTCCTTGGTTGTACTCCGTAAT